TTTGCATGATTTGCCAAGATTGTGTTGTAGAGCATGCAATAGCTGAGATTTAGAAATCTTAGCTCTGGTGATAATGTGATGAATCTCATGAAAACCTAATATTTCTTTTATGAGAGTCCTTTTGAACTTGTTCACCTTTTGTTATGCAGGGTGTACAAGTTGACAAAGTGGAATCTCATGATGAAGAAGGGCCTAAACTTCTGTCCAGTTCTGCACAGGAAGTGCAGGCTGAAGAGTTCGTTATGCTGCTTCGGCAGCAGAAATATCTTCACAATCTGACTGAGCAGGCTCTGAGGAAAAACAAGCCATTGATTATACTGAATCTTATGCATGGGAAAGCTCCATTGTTATTGGCTGAAGAACTGACTGGTAATGAGAAGATTGAACAAATGTGTCTGGGGGCATTGGCCATCTGTTCCTTTCCTGGTCATTCATCTATACCAATATCCACTTGTAACGATGTTGTTGAGGGGGGTCTCGAGGCTTCCCCGTCAGGTAGCAAGGCAAGTACCTCACAAATAGCATCTTCAGCTGTTCTATCAGATTCAGATTTACATCAAGTTGTAAGTTTGACCTCTCTTTTATCAATATTTTCCTTTCGTTGGGAATTAGTTTCTATCGCCAACCCAAAGCAGATTTCTTGCTTACAGATTTTTAACTTTTCCTTTCCAGGTATCTGTTATTCAGTCATGCTCACATGGTATAAACAAGGTGGTGGAGTCTCTACAACTTAAGTTCCCAAGTATTGCGAAGTCCCAACTGAAAAACAAGGTGCGGGAGATATCAGAGTTCATTGATGGTAGATGGCAGGTGATTTCCGATATATCTCTTTTCTTTGTCTGGGTTACCGTCGTCAATACGTTTTAAGAATAAAGTTTCTTTACATAAAAAAGACCTCTGCAATCTGAAGGGGGTAAGAGTTGGCAAAAGATGTCCAATTTTGTAGGATAATCCATAAAGAATCAAATCCAATATCATGTACCAGATGATAGTATTTCTTGCTGTTGAAGATAGACTGGAGAAGCAGTATGATCCATGAAAGTTTATGTTAAAGCTAATACAGCATTCTAGTCACATAGCCAAATTAAAATTGTAAATTTCATGCTATTCTAGTTTTATTTGTGTTGTGCCTCTTCAACATTAGTCAGATTGCTTTTTTAAAGCAGTGTAATAATTTGCTAATACCAACTTAATAGTCTTATCCGATTTATTAGTCTGAATTGTCTATGCAACAGATTCATGTTACTTTCTCTTGACATCTATTTTTCTTGTTGGTCGTGGGTTATTGCCCAATCCACTAAGATTTTGATCCTTGCAATATGAAATCTGGTTTGCTCTTTGTCAATTTTCTTCCTAGTTTGCTGAAGAATACTGCAGTTGACTGATGCTGCATTCCTCCTGCTTTTGCAGGTTAAGAAGGATGTTCTTGTGAAGCTTGGGCTATCAATATCACCAGGTATGAGCCTTTCATGTGCTATTGCTGTAATCCTTTTCTCTTTTCTGTTTGGACTTAACATTTAAAGTTTTAGGCCTAAAATTGAAAACATAAAAACGCTGCTTCTACTTTCTACATTCACTGGTAAAAGAGTGTAAGGTAGCATCTCTGTTTAGCTTTTTCTTCCTTATTGTAAAGTTGTTAGTTTTGATGATTGACAGAAAAGAGCAGCAGGACAAAGAGCATTGCTACATTCTTTTCCAAGAGATGTTTGCCACCTTCTGGAAAGACCACCAATCTGCACGAGACATCCCCGCAAGCATGCCAGAAAACTTCAGTTTCTATCCAGCCACAGCAAGACTGCACATACAAACATGAATGAAAATATACTCTGTTAAATCCTTTTGGGCGCTTCGGGTCCTTATTTTTTTGGTACCCTCTTCAAATATAATAGATGCCAGCTTAGAGGTTTTGTTACTTTTAGAATCTGATCTTGTAAGAGCTGGGCATGAATTAGTCGTCAGTATTGCCCTTAATAACTTAGGTCCCTTGTGCTTCTAACGTAGAGATAGTGCAAAATTTTCAAACTTCAAGCCCAAATCTGAAAATTAAATCAAATAGCAGTGTAAAATTATGATGTCTGTGCATTTTGCATCTGCGTGTTCTTTGTGTTCTTGAATTTACGGTATGTATATAACATCTAGTATTCCTATGTTACATTTTCCTTTCTTATGTATCCTGTTTTGAATGAGATTTCTGTTTATCAATTGAAGTTTATTGCTTTTAAGAATCTGAATTAATATATACAGGGCATTATCTTTAAGTTTTGATGCGTTATTTAGCAATTTCATACTTTCTGCACGTACTAATTTAGTATTTGGGTTAAGAAATGATATGCTCCTACGTGCTTCAGCTGTGTAAAACAGTTTGAGCACCATAACTAAATTCCCCTTTTGTTACTTTAACCCTTCCATTCAATTTGTTTTTGAAACTAAATTATAGAACATAACAATTTGGTTTTGGTTCCAGAGAAAATTAAGCGTTAGGGTTAATATGAATTATTTGTACAAATTTTGTTGGACAATTCAAAATTTTGCTAATCTAAATGACAACTTCCATCTACCTCTCTGGATTGGCAAAACGTTTGAGGAAAAAGAGGCGTAGCCTTCGTTCTCCCTTCTTTGTTTGAGATTAAGGTGTAATAATTATTGTACAAACCTATGAACGGAACAAAAAATAAGTGTATCCTAACTTGAGTTTGAGATTTAGGCGTAATAGTCACTCCCTACATCTCATAGTGTGTCGTGGTTACTAAAAATAATTGTCTCAAATTATTTGTCATTTTCGAAGTTCAGGATAAAATTAATTATATTTTTCTTTTTTTACCCTTAATAATTAATTATCTTAGAAGATTACAAACATATTACTTATGGATAATTTTATTCAAATACCAAGAAGTCTGCGTTGTAATCTTAAACACTTTAATCATGTTTATCCTAATGCAATCAAAATTTTAAATACCAAAGTTCTTTATAAAGTAACTTATATTGATTCACAGAAGACATTTTAACTCTTTGATAGGCAGATTCAATATTTTGGTCAGGAATAGTTTCTGTAGTAATATTTAGTTCAGGAATTTGTGGTCCACCACAATTAGCAACATGAAGTTCAGCAGGCATATTTAGATCTATTTGGATTAATGGAAATTGATGACTTTGTGTTGGATCCATGTTCATTTCAAGAATTTAGTGAAGCATTCTTTTTTATAGGAAAATTTTTAGGTGGGGAATATTAAATTTTCATATAGACTAAAGTAACTTTCAAGTTGAATTTTTGGCTCCACAATAGTTTTAGTTGGAAATTTTTAATCAAAACACGTTTGAAGGAAAGTGATGTGTGGCTATAATTCCATAGTTTCGTACATTATTTGCCTTGCATTTTATATGTTTTAATGATAAAGTACACCTTATTTGCGTGTAATGGAGTCTATTTTATGTGTAGGTGAATTGGAGATGAAAGTAGAAGAAAAATGAGACCTATAAGTTGAAAGCGTGCGCGGGAGCAGTGAATGAGAGACCCTGGCGACGCCAGACTTGAAGCTGGCGTTAGGCTGGTGAGGCCAGGCAAAGGCTAGGTTTGAAGCTGGCGTTAGGCTGACGAGGCCAGATAAATGCCAGTTCCACCAGGCGTTAGGCTGGCGACGCTAGGCCTGGGGCGAGATCCAGTCCGAGTTTTGAAGATTTATTTCGTCTCTTGGTTTGACTAGGACTTGACCTACACGTTTAGGTCTTTTCCTATACATATAAATAGACCTAAAAATGCCACTTTGAGGGGAGACTGTCGAGATACATCGAGATTGGACAGATTTGAGAGGGGATTCGGCCTAAGGAAGCAAGAACACACTAGGAGCAAGGCGGAGAAATCTTCTACGAGTTTTTCACTTCCTTCTTCCTATTTTTATTATTGGTTATGAATTCTAGTATTGTAGTTATGCATACTATTATGAACAACTAATTTGTTATCTAGGGTTTTGATGGAACCTATTGGAGGATGATTTTCCTATTACGTTAATATAGATTTGCTGTAGCTTTTTCTCTAATTGTTCAACTACGTTTATATTATGGTTGGTTGAAGAGCTCTCAATCGACTGTGCCTATTTAGTGTGTATTACTCGGGAGAGAGTACATATTTAGGTAGTTGTTGAACAACATCACTCTTAACGTATATGAGGGATCAATGGGCTTAACGGTGGGATTAGGGATAACGAAACCTTGGTGCGATCCGAGTGAGCCGTACTTAATGCCAACTAGCGTAATTCGGGAGAATATGTCTAGTAAATTGTGGTAGTTACTCGGGAGAGAATTACAACACTCAGAGCGCTCATGATCGGTAGAGAAAACTTAGGCAAATTTATAGAAAAAGTAGCGGAAAGGATTCCGACAATAGGGGAAATCATAACTCTAGACCTTACTGCTTTCTAGTATTTGTTAGTTAATTAGATAAAAATAAACATTATAATCTTTATAATTAGGAAATTGTTTGGACTTGTGTTTCTTAGCGATATTGAATAACTGTAGCTAAGCCTTAGTTCTCTGTGTGATTCGACTCCGGACTTGTAAACCGGATTATATTTGCAATGACCGCTTAGTCCTTTTTATAAGGCATAGTTAGGCATGATCCATTGATTAATGTCATTGATGGAGATGATACATAAATTGAGAAAATATTTAATAAGAGTAAAACAGTCAAAAACTATTCTTTCTTAAGCGGCGTGCACAAGAAAATCACGACACACACGGAGGGACTATTGCTCAAACTCATAACGACAAATGAAAGAAAATTTCTCTACCAATACCGCCTAAAATCTGATGTAATACAGAATCTAAGACGCCCATGGTTATTAGTTAAAACTCCCAGTTTGTAAAAAGGGAAAACACATACGCCCATAGTTATTAAAGACTCCAGTTTGTAAAAAAGAAAAAAAAAACATTAAATTAAAATTTCATCACTTCCACGTGGCATTTTGTCAACTTACATATAGCCTTATATATGATATGATCCGTTTGTCTCTCTCCACCTTTCACTTCTCTCTCTTCTACATACAAAGTGTATAGAACTGATCACAGACGTAAAAAAACAGGCGAAACAAACGAGGTGAATTTCTTGAAATGGCACTGAATCTCAATGCAGCAGCTTTTCAATCCCAAACGCAACCTTTTCATAATGCTTCTTCACTCAGATCTCATCATAGAGTTTTCATGGCTTCAACACTTCATCATCATCAACCTTCTGTGTGAGTATTCTTTTTTTTTTTTTTAAAAAAAATTTTAAGCAAACGGGTGTCTCAAAATATGGTTTTTGGGAAGTGGGGTCCGTTTTATATATATA